ATAAATACCTTCTTCGAGCATTCTTCAGGGCAGCACTCCCTGGGAGTGGCAGGAGTGGCATTAATATCCATACTGTGTTCTGCATGAGTTTCACCTATACATCCAGAGCCTTCGTAGGTTACATGGATACAGCGGAAGTCACAGGCAGAACTAGCAGCACTTGAACACACCGAGCAAGCACTACTAACAATTGCAGCCCTCTGTTAAACAGAAAGTCTAATTAGGTTTTCCTAACAGTTCTCTTGTTCAGCAGAGGAACCAACTATAATCAACTAGTGGGGTGCTGCATACATCTGTTGTATTACTTGAATAAAAGGATCTATAAAGGTAATGCAAAAGGCTGTGCATCCTCTTCCTTTGTCTTTTCAACATTTTAATTTGGGCTCCGCTAGTCCCAAGAGGGCTGCAAAGTGAATACCAGGGGTGGACTGACTATTTGGAAACTCGGGCACTGCCTGAGGACCCGGGGTCAGTAGGGGGCCCCATGAGATGCTCCTGGTACCTTTTTCGTAGGCTTTTTTTGAGTTTGGGCAAGGACACAGGGGCCCCATGATCCCCTATTGCCCGGGGGCCCCATGAGTTGTCAGTCCGCCCCTGGTGAATACATATATACTGCAGCATCACTTCTGAGCACAGGAGATTGGTTTTTTTTCACCTAATGACACTTCCAGTCCCTGGTTGGCTACACTTCCACCCTCCACTGTATTTATGGAGATAGCCATGGTTGTCACCCTAGGCTTGATTTCAAACATGTCTTCCTTTATTCATCTCCATTACACAAGTATTTTCTAAACAATAAAGGAAAAATAATGCAACCACCACATCTAAGGACGGGTAAGCTAAACTATGTAAAAATCTTTGGTTTTTTTCTTAGTTATTCTTTAGCAGATATACTTTACAAGAAATGCTAAAAATATACTCTAAACAATAAATATTACTTCAATTTTTATGGAAAAGCAGTAATGTAAAGAAAAGCCAATAGAACAAAAAAGTGACATCTTAAAATTAAAACAATACTAGTATTAATGGAAAAAATAGCAGCAAAAAATAATAAAAGTTCCTAATGAATTAAGATTAAGACTATAACAATTGAGTACTGTTTGTGATACTTTTTTAATTTGCACTAACATACAATTTTGAGGACAAGCTTTTGGGGTATGTCCCCTTCTTCAATCACCTCAAGCGATTAAGACTGTGAAATTTCTGCAGAAAAAAATAAAAAGATCAAGAGAAGACCATTTTTCAACTAGTTGAAACTGCTATCAGAAGAAGGAATTACCAAATTAAAATCTAAGTTTAGTAAAAATAAAACTGGTATAATAAATAAATTGAAAGTACAAGAAGACCAAAATTCAAAACTATTAATATTCTTGGAGGATGATGGGTTCAATCTGTGTGGGAAATGTTATTTACCTTTTAGCCTAGTTGTATGGAGCCAGCACTGTCATGTTCCTCTGTCCTTACTTCCTCAGCCCTAATGTCTTGTCTGAAAATTCTGAATAATATCTGTGACCAGATTCTGATAAATAACAGAAGAAGCAAGGGAAGCAGATTGCCAGAGGAACTATGTGGCCAATAACTAGCGTATTAAGTAATAATGGTTATTATTATCTTTGTTACAAAGTAAATAAAAAAATTAGTAACATTAAAATATATAAAATAAAATGACTATTAGACATAAGCCTACAAAAAGTCTCTAGTTCATTTGTATCCTAAATTTTAGTAACCTCAGCTTATAACTCAATTATTTAATTAATGTATACATAAAATATATTGCTTAAAGCTCACACTGCACGTAGTCAACTGTTTATTTTGTCTAGGGGTGAGAAGAAAGCCATTACTCATCAGATCCTTCGTTCCACCTGAAAACAGCGCTCCCTTATGATCCAGTGGTGGATTGTTCTTGTCTATGGAGCCTGCTCTGGGCTTGATGACATCAGGAACAGTCTACAACTCAAGACCGCTCTAGCACAGGGGTCATCTTTAATGTTGATTGGACTCTGGGCAAACATTTTCTTGGGCCCCTCCACCTCCCTCCCTCTGCTCACATGCAATTTCGCTCTCAAGTTGATCTAAGACATACAATAAATAGCAGCTACACTCAAAATCAGTTTACTGCAGCAGATCAAGCAGTGGTTTTGATTGCTTTCCAGGGGTTACAGCACATCGTTACAGCTCATTAACTGGTTGCTAGAGTTTACAGCACATATTATGGCTCACTGATTAGTTGCTAGAGGTTACAACACATCATTTCTTGTTGTTGATTGGTTGCTATAGGTTACTGCACATCATTACTGCTCACCCAGCTAGGGCTGCAGGTGTAATCAGTGGCAGTGCTGTGGGGGGGGGGGGGGAATGTGTGACAGTGCTGGGGGGCGGGATCAATAACACTCACTTTCTGTCACCTGTCAGTCAGTGTCCACCCTGCATGTGAGTGTGGGGGGAGGGGGGTAAGAGAGAGGGGGAATGTGAAAGAGAGAGGTGAGAAAGGGGGGATGAGAGAGAAGGGGGTGATAGAGGGGGGATGAGAGAGAGGGAGCTGGACAGTGAGAGAAGGAGGAGAGAGAGGTGAGGTTAAAGAGAGGAAATGAGAAAGAGAGAAAGGGATTGAAAAAGAGAGAGAGGTGAGAGAGAGAGAAAGAAAGGGAAATAGAGGGTGAAAGAGAGAGGGAAGGGAGGAGCAGGGAGGTAGGGAGAGAGAGGGGGAGTGAGAAAGAGAGAGAGAGTAAGGGGGGGTGTAAGAGAGAGGGGGTTATGAGAGCGGGGGTGAGAGAGAGGGAGTAGGGAGGGGAAGGGAGGTAGGGAGAGAGAGGGGGTGGGGGTTGAAGAGAGAGGGAGTGAGAAAGAGAGAGGGGTGAGAGAGAGAAAGAGAAAGGAGGGAGGGAGAGAGACGGGTGTGGGGATGACAGAAAGGGGGAGTGAGAAAGAGAGAGGGTTGAGAGAGGGGATGAGAAAGAGAGGGGGGAGAGAAGGGGGGTGAGAGAGGAGGGGGTGAGAGATGGGGGTGAGAGAGAGAGGAGTGGGGTGAGAGAGGGGGGAGAGAGGGGGATGGGAGAGAGAGGTGGGGGGTGAGAGACGGGGGAGTGAGAAACAGAGGGGGGTGAGAAACGGGGGGGTGAGAAAGAGAGTGGGGTGAGAGAGAGAGAAGAAAGGGAGAGAGAGAGAAAAGGGGGGGAGGGAGGGAGGGAGGGAGAGAGAGGGGTGGTTGAGTGATAAAAGGAGAGGGGTGAGAGAGGGGGATGAGAGAGAGGGGAGTGATAGGGGGAGAGATAGGGGGAGTGAGGTGAGAGAAGAAGGAGAGAGAGGGGATGAGAGAGAGGTTGGGTGAGAGAGAGAGGGGAGTGATGGGGGGAGAGATAGAGGGAGTGGGGTGAGAGAAGAAGGGAGAGAGGGGATGGGAGAGAGGTTGGGGGTGAGAGAGAGGGGAGTGAGAAAGCGGGGGAGCGAGAAAGAGAGAAGGGTTTGAGAGAGAGAGAGAAGGGGAGAGAGATAAAGGGAGGAGGGGGAGGGAGGTAGCGAGAGGGGGGATGACAGAGAGGGGGAGTGGGAAAAAAAGAGGGGTGAGAGGGGGGGGGTGAAAGAGAGAGGGGGGATGAGAGAGAGGAGGTGGATGAAAGATAGGGAATGGGGTGAGGGAGGGGGGGAGTGAGAGAGAGAAGGGGTGAAAGAGGGGGTTGTGAGAGAGGAGAGTGGGGAGAGAGGGGTTTGGGGGGGTGATAGAGAGGGGGGTGAGAGGGAGAAGGGGTGAGAGAGAGAGGGGGATGAGAGAGAGGGAGTGGGGTGGGAGAGAGAGGGGGTGAGGGAGAGAAGGGGGGTGGGAGACAGAAAGGGGGGTGAGAGACCCCTATACCTGCCCCTGTCTGCAGTCCCTTCTGTGCCCCCCTGTCCCAGTCCCAGTCTGTGGGTAGATGAGTGTTATTCCCTAGTATCTACCTCCTGCTCGCCCTTATCCTCTGTACAGGGACACTGGTCAGCCTCTCCTCCTGTTGATGTGAAAGCTGGGAGTGGAGAGGAGGTTGAATTAGGAGTCCAGTCTTTGGGAGGTGCCAGGGATGTTGTGCCCGCTGCTGCTCACCTCAGTCAGGGAGGTGGTGAAGGTCTTCTGCCTCCCGGGCTCTCGGTCCTAGCCACCCTTTTGCTACTAGCCTTCCCCACGGCCTCTGTCTCCGGGGCCGCCCGATCGCCTTGTGGATCAAGGTGCTATCATCCTGCCTGCACCCTGAGTGCCATCGGCACCAGATTAAGCTGCTCTGCTTCCCGCCACCACTGGATTCTCCATGAGAAGGGGCTCAAGGAGCAGCTGCCTTGGGCCCCACAATAATGACTGGGGCCAGGGCAGCTGCTTCTTTTGCCCCGCGTTAAAGATGGCCCTGGTGCCAAGCCAGTCTTATGCTGGGAGGATTGGAGGATCAGGTAAGTATATCTTCTCTCTCCAGTTCCCTAGACAAAAACAAGTAGTTAACTCTTGTGGTGGGCGCACAGCCTGTAAAAACTGAAAAAAAATTTTTGCCCGGAGTTGGGCTTTAAAGGACAACTTAATTTTTCATTATTTAACATTCTCCTCCATTAGTGTAAGCCATGAAGCTAAATATTTACCTTTAGCTCTGATTTGTAGAACTTCGCTAAATGGACCTTTCCTGCGGTCCACAACCTGTGCATGAAAAAAATCCAGGCTGTGCCCTGCACATACTACACATGGGTGCTTCAATGTCATTCATTCCAGGCCAATCTATACTCATAGCGGCCCCAGCCAACCAGAGTATGACTGAGCTGGGACTTTCTTGGTCACACATAGTAAAGATCTCCAGAACTTCTGCTGTGTTGGTTACACTAAAGTGGAAAATTTAGATGACAAGTTTACTAAAAGAGAAGTTATACTTTGATAAACTTGGACAAAGAACAGTACGCCATAGCAGCTAGATTTGACTTTTACAACCTCGAGGCGATCACTGATTTGCCCATTGCCCATAGATGTTTTAAAAAATAAACCCAATTCTGTTTCAGTTTTGGTGATTTAGTGTGACCAATGTGTACACTGAGCCAGAGCCATTTTTTTGGCCGGGAATGTAGTGCCCATTCCGTGAATTGAGAATTGACGAAGAGGTTTCCGTCCTCATACTGAGAGCCTGTGACTTGCAGCAGCCAAGTTTGCTCATTAGAATGAAAAAGTCCTTTCGAAAAGCCTTAGTGAAAAAGGCATATAAAAATGGATTGGCACACGAATTAATTGGATAAAACAGAACTAACAGGATCTTGGAATTGGACACTGTTATTAAGGGAACCTTCAGGGATGCAGATATGGCAAAGAATGAAATGGGTGCAGTGCACAGAAAATTGGTGAATATCAGAACCGCCATTCTTAAGGCCGTTTTCGTGTCGCTGTGGGAGGAGACAATGTCAGGATTGCGTACAGTGATATATATATGTGCATAGCAAACACAGATAGCAACAAATGCCAAAACATTAAGCACTAGGATAAAAATGATATAAGCCTGTGAAGGCAAAGATTCAATGTCCATAGGCAAACAAATGCTAACTTTCATGTAGTTGCTTATGCCAACAATTGGTAATAGGGCCACCACGATTGCGAAGATCCAACCGGAAATCATGATGATGAAAGCATGTCTTAACCTAACTTTACGTTGGAGTTGCATCGCGTAGGTTATGGTATGCCACCGCTCAAGGGTAATGGCTGTCAGTGTGTAGACCGAAAGTTCGCTGGCAAACACAGTAAAAAATCCTGCTGCATGGCAGCCCGCTCCCGTTTGCCACTCAATAGCATAATTATAATATTGGCTTTTTGTTTTGATGTCCACAGAGGCAATCAGCAGGAGGTAGATGCCCATGCAGAAGTCTGCAAAGGCCAGATTGCACATTAGAAACTTGGGAACACTGAATTTGGACTTGCTAGTTATCAATATTATAAGCACCACTGCATTCCCACTTATGGCCAGAATGCTGATACACCACATCAGAATACGGAGAAAGTCATAGCCCATGATGTCTTCGCATGGATTGAATTCATCTGGTTTTGGGAAACACATGACGTTCTGCACATCAAAACAGAAATAGTAGTCAAAGTCATCGTGCTCGAAGCTTAGGCCACTGCTCATGTGGTAATCCATCTGTGCTGATCTTTTGTTGATAGGCTTTGAATCTCCATTCAGAAAAAAATTGCTTCTGTTGCACAAAGGATGCACATCCATGCTACAGAAATAACAAAGTGTACAATAAATAAATATACCACAAAATGTGAATTCTCATTGCTTAAAGTGTATGTATAGACAAAAGGTCTTTTAACCTCCCTGGCGGTCTGATTATTTCCGATTTTTGGTGCTGAAAGCGGTACCTTTTTTTGCATGGAAATATGTAGTTTTTTATTGTAGGCTGTAATTTTTAGGAATAACTCACTGAAATCTGTCCGAACAAGAGTCTAGTAAACATTCCGGGTATGATAAAACTTGAAACACGAAATCATAAATTATAATTTAATTAATAATCATAAAAAATAATAATATAATAATAATACATTTAATTCAATAATATAATCAAACCAAAAACACTGAAATTTGAAATACAGAGGCAAATTCGCACATTGCTGAGCAAAGCTGCAAAATCGTTTTCAGTGTCTGATGACGAATTTCCCCCATGAATCATTATCACTCAATTCTGCAAGTGGTTCTGATTTACTATCGCTGTTCTCTAGCCGGTCTAAAACCGCTTTTGACGTAAAGGGACGCTTTTTGGACGCCATGGACGTTTCTAAGTTTCCAGGCAGAAAGAACAGTAAAAATGCAGACAGGGCACAGGACAAAGCAATAGGGACAAAATATATGTGAAATGCATTGAAACAGCAATGTTTTAATATATAATAATAATTTTTTAAAAAAATGACATTTTTTAAAAATTTCAAATTTGCTGCCGGTTCCGGCGCCCGTACGTCCCAACGTCACAGGGACTGGAACACGGAAGCCGGATGCCGGCATCGGCCGGAGGAGATGGCCGGGGACGCTGCAGGGGACACATCGCGGGAGCGAAAGACAAGGTAAGCGCTGCAGGGACTCCCTGAGCAACGCCGCATGAGCCTGAGTGTAGCTCGGGGTTACCGCTCTTGGTACTGAAATTTTACCCCGAGCTACACTCGGGAATACCGCTAAGGAGGTTAAGACAAGTTTTTTTTTTATTGATGTCCATGCCTACACTAGTTGGATTCACCCTTTCTAATTGTCTAGGTGACCATTGTTTTGCCACAATGCAACGCTAACTCTTCAGTGTGAACAGCACTGTGTGCTGCCATGTGCAGAATTTTCATAGGCGTTTGAGAAGCGTTAAAAACGCTTCCCAAACGCCTGTCTGACGCCTCCTCATAAGGCTAGTGTGAACTGAACCTTATTCCTACTACTTTGTCCTTCATGTAACATCATTTGAAGGATGCAGCGCATTCAAAATTACAGCCCACTATGTGAATGTATGATATATGTATATATATATATATATTAGAAATAAGAAATGCACTCCAAGGGCGGACTGACCATTTGGAAACTAGGGCACTGCCCGAGGGCCCGAGGTCAGTAGGGGGCCCCATGAGATGCCCCTGGTACCTTTTTCTTAGGCTTTTTTGAGTTTGGGCAAGGACACAGGGGCCCCATGATACCCTATTGCCCGGGGGCCCCATGAGTTGTCAGTCCGCCCCTGATGCACACTGGTGCTGGTAAAAACCTTTTTAAATTAGGAGTAAATTCACTTTTTTTGTGTTCTTTTTACAAACAAAAATTTGTACTCGATTTAATGAAGAGGCCCATATAGCTGTTCTTTTAAAGGAAACATAATAAAATAATATAAATAATTTAACCACTTTTAATATTACCAATACCTTTCTCTGCTTTACTGAAAACAATTTACATGAACGTGTCGTATGGTAAGAGCTACACTCTGTACACAGATGCTGTTCCTCTAATGGTGGGAGAATGGCACATTTTGTACTTTATATACTTAGCATGCTGTGTCAAGACAAATGGTATGAAAGTTCTGATTATGTAATTTTTGAGACCTCAGGTGAATGCCATTCCTATTTAACAGACAGTTTATTTTAATTGCCTTTTCCTGGGACCATGTGCTCACAATCAATACTACACTGGAAGGCTGCTGGTCATATTATTAGGTTAATGACATAGGAGATAGAAGTTAGAATTTTAATCTTTAGGAATACATAGCTCCATGTTGGTATTGTATGCAATATATAGCTGGGGGTGAGGAGAGGTTGTAGTCCTCTAGTGTCACGGCACTTTTTGTCTTAGTGAACACTGTGAAAAAAAATATTTTTCAAAAATTCTATAGGTTAATGTCCTATATATATATATATATATATATATATATATATATACACACACACTATGGGGTTGATTTACTAAAGCTGGAGAGTGTAAAATCTGGTGCAGCTCTGCATAGAAACCAATCAGCTTCCAGGTTTTATTGCCAAAGCTTAATTGAACAAGCTGAAGTTAGAAGCTGATTGGCTACCATGCTCAGCTGACCTAGAATTTACACTCTCCAGTTTTAGTAAATCAACCCACTATATCTATATTGTATTTCTGTTCAAAGTGATTTTAAAGGTAATTTTTTTAAAATAACTAATATGTCTATACTTACCTGCTCTTTGTAAAGGTTTTGCACCCTGATCCTCCTCTTCTGGGGTCCCCCGCCAGCGTGCCTGGCTCCTCCTTCCATCTAAGTGCCCCAAAGCAAGCTGCTTTCTATAGAGACACTCATGTAGGCACAATCCTGAGCCAGGCTCTGTGCATCCTTTGTCCTTTGTAATTGACAGCAGCAGGAGGCAATGGCTCCTGCTGCTGCCTCTGTGTCCAGTGAGGAGAGAAGAGGAGAGAGCCACTGCTTCTGGGCACAGTGTTGTATCAAGATCAGGCTCCAGTATGCATCTGGGGGGGTGGGGGTAGCTGAACACAGAAGGATTTTTTACACAGGATGCATTAGGTTACAAATATAACCCTTCTGCCTTTGCAACCACTTTTTTGTATTCTGTTTATTTTGCTTTCCTTTGCTCATCTCTCTCCCCCTCATCAACACACCAATTATGTTTTTAACCCCTTGGCGCTGTCGCCTCTCAGCCCATTAAGGGGTTTGTGACCCCAGGAGGTGGGGCAGGGTTTAGGGTCATGTGACTGCCGTGATTGGCTATCACGGCAGTCACATGATCGAAAAGGTCCCGATCCCAAGTACCTTTTCATAAGGTGCCGGTAAAATGTGTCAGGAACGTGCAGAAATGCTCTCAATACGTGTGCTCACTTTGGGTACGCAAATATGCGGCCTCTTGGCGTCAAGGCCCAGCTGCCAAGAGGCCTCATATTTTGGCACCGTCCACGCGAACAGATTAAAAAACCTTTATGTACCTTAAGACCCTGAGTTTTTATTACTGCATCTCTGTGCTTCTCTAAGCAATGCAGGCAGATCATAGCTGGTGGGAGGGGCTGGCCAGGTGCTGTACATAGCTTCATGAAAACATCAGAACCCTGTGCAAGAACTTCTCTCAAGAGACCTCAGCCCTGATGCAAGCAGTAAGCTAACTTTTTGTGGGGGCAATTAAATATCAAAAAGTCCTGGGCGAGTGTCATTCTGGAGAAGCAAACATTCCTAGGCAGACTGTATATACATGCATGTCATATCACCCATCCTGCACCTTCACCTCTCTCACCTGATCCTGGATGAGATCCTAAATCGCAAATTCATAAGCAGCATACCAAAAATATTTAGGTTAGGTTCACATATGTGCAGGTGGTGCCGCTGCCGATCCACACAAAAAGCAGTGCAGCCGCACCACCCGCACAGAAGAATGTGGACCTGCCGCCCGCACTGGAAATCGCAACTGTACAGGGAACCGAGGTTCCCGTGCGGGCTGCGGTTTCCAAACAAGTGCAGGGACTTCTTCCCTGCGTGTCCCAGGGCATGGGAGTCTATTCAAATGAATGGGCTCCTGTGCCTGTGCAAAACGCGGCTCGCACAACCGCATATATGTGAACCGAGGGTTAAAATGGTTCAGAAGGGTTTTTTTTTACCTTAATGCATTCTATGCATTAATGTAAAAATCCTCCAGCATGTGGCCTCCCCCCCCAAATACTTACCTGAGCCAGATCTTGATCCAACGAAAGCAGCTGCTTTCCAGCTCTTTCCTCTGTCATTTGATAAAGAAGCAGTAACAGGAGCTATTGGCTCCTGCTGCTGTCAATCACAGCAGGGAAGAAAGAGCAGGGAGCGCGCTTTATGTGTTAATGGACACACAGAGCCCGGCCCGTGAGCAAGCATACATGGCTCTGAGGAAGAGGTTGTGTCCTCGAAACGCGTTAGCCAGTTGGTCATCCAGGGTTCCATCGTATGGACTCAGATGTTGTTTGGATCATACATCTTGTTCAGTTTGACATGCCTGTGTTATTATGTCCATTGTGAGTATGATACCTATTTTTGTTTCTTTAATAAATTATTTTAAATGATAATGCACTAGGTCGGTGCGCCCTTTTTCTGTTTCTCCATTTGTATCCAGTGTATTCGGACCACCCCGGTCTGTTGAGGGCAGCAAGCAGTGCATATTCCAGAAAATTCCAGAACATTCCTATTGGGTCTACTGAGTCCTTTCCTAGCGCAGGAGAAAAGTGTTTGTTGTGTTACATAGCAAGCAGCTTGCTGTAGGGGCCCTTGGCAGGGGGGGAGGGGCCAAGAGCGCCAGTGGGGAACCCAAGAAGAAAAGGATTGTGGATGCTCAGTACAAAACATAGGGCACATACCTTTTATGTTTCTTCCAGTTTTCAAAGGCACAGCAGTGGCTTGGATACGTAAGATTGGCCTCAATAAGACCAGACAGCCTTTCTAAAGGAGGGAGCTTCTTCAGGTTATAAGCGTGGTTAGCAATAAGTTTCTTCATATGTTCCAGGCCTTGTTTGGGCAGAGAGCTGATCTGGGTTTTTGAAATATCCCTGTTTGTAAAAAATAAAAAAAACAAATACAAGAGGATATGGCAAAGATTACACGGAATAGCAGGTTCTGGATCTAAAGAAAATACAATGGAAGATTGAATGTGTGAGATAACTGGTTTGGAAGGGCCTATAGGAGCTCAATATGATAACGAACATGAAAAACAAAATACATGTTCCGTGCTGTGTGTTCCACTGTCAAGGAGTGCCAGTGATGAAGGAAATGGTGGGAGTACAAATGAGTTATAGAATAGTAAGAGGAGATGTTATAGAGAGGTATTGGGGTACAAAACACTCCCAAGCTGTATTACAATAATGGTTAAATTATTAGAATCCTCTAGATCAGGTTTACTCAACCTTACTACCCCGGAAGAATCCATAAACCAATTATAAGGTCTCATGGAACCCCTGCTAATACCAATTCAGTGGGGTAAGTGGAAAAAAAATGCCCCTTATAATAGTGATCAGTGGGAAGAATACTCCTTACATTTGTAGGGAATTGCTGCCCTCTACTGTATGTTTTTCTACTGTTGTTTGTTAATTACCACAGAGTTGGTTGGTTATAGACAGGTACTTCTTGTCCCTGCTAGCTCAGTCAGAAACTCCAAGAGAAGGAGAAAGAGAAAGAAAGCGAGAGAGAGTAACTGAGCCACATGACCTTACACACACAGAAGTGGCTGCTGCTGTATTTCATTCAGACCAGAAGCAGAGACTATTAGGCAAGTATTCCTTTGTTCTAAGAGTTTAAAGGAGAAAGAGCTTTGGGTCACAGGAGTGTACTTAGTTTTTCACTCCTGCGATTCAGATTCAGTCGGACGAGGGCTAAAGCCCGCTGATATCACAGAGCCGGTTCAGGCTCTGCAGGAATCCCGGGAATAATATTGGGATTCACCCAGAAGCCTGAGTATTGAACCAACTGCTCCCAACCTCTTCACAGCTTGGTGCTCCAGTGAGTCCTGGAGGGTTAGAGCACAGAGTTGGTGACTAACAGTCACTACTCTCTGCTCAGTGAAGACCGAAAAATTAGCGATTAGCAGACATGTGATCGCGCAGTTTGTGGTCTTAGAGCTGGCTGGGGACAGCTGCAGCATCAGATCAATGCTGCAGCCATATAGGTCAGTATGAATGTTTTCTTTTTTTTTAATCCCATACTTCTCTTTTAACTGCAGCTAACTGTAGGTTCTTGAATGTGTATCTGAATCTTTGTGACAGACCTATGTCCATCCTATTGTTATTATCTCACATGCACATTGCCAGATAGCTAGGTCTGCGCTACTGTATGTGTGTAGTGGTCACCTGCTAGTATACTAATAGGTGGACCTGTTCATTGCAATAGAGTTTATATGTCACTTTTGTTGTTTTAGTTAACCCCATTCCTTCTGTTCTGTGATTTGAAAGCTAATTTTAGCTCAGGGCTCAATAAATAGCATAGACTAGAGCCGGGTAAGGCATCTGACGGCTATTTGGTAGTTAAAGGTCTGGTTGCATGACAGATTAGAAGCAACTAGGGACTTATGCAGGCCATAGATGGGTCGAAAAATCGGCCGATTTTTCTTTTAAAAAAACGAACAATCGGTCGTTCAAGTGGCCGACGTTACCACCAATGGTAAAAAAAATCGGCCGATTTTCATCCCGTCTACAGCCGGCAAAAAGTGTCCCTGCAGAGAGCTCCGCTATTTCTGACAGTTCTCTGACAGTTCCTTCACATTTACAGCGGTTGAAACATTGTATCTATTTGTTTCCATTTAGGATACAGATGTTTTTATTTGGAAACAAATAGATACAATGTTTCAACCGCTGTAAATGTGAAGGAACTGTCAGAGAACTGTCAGAAATAGCGGAGCTCTCTGCAGAGACACTTTTTGCTGGACTGGAATTCTTCTTATTTTCATCCTACTTCTTCTTCTTCTTCTTCATCATCCTCATCCTCATCCTCTTCTTCTTCATCATCCTCATCCTCTTCTTCTTCTTCATCCTCATCCTCTTCTTCTCTTCATCCTCATCCTCGTCGTCTTCATCCTCATCCTCTTCTTCTTCTTCTTCCTCATCCTCTTCTTCTTCTTCATCCTCATCCTCTTCTTTCTTCTTCTTCTTCTTCATCCTCATCCTCTTCTTCTTCTTCTTCTTCTTCTCTTTCTCATCCTCTTCTTCTTCTTCTTCTTCTTCTTCTTCTTCATCCTCTTCTTCTTCATCCTCTTCTTCTTCATCCTCATCCTCTTCTTCTTCATCATCCTCATCCTCTTCTTCATCCTCATCCTCTTCTTCTTCTTCCTCATCCTCTTCTTCTTCTTCTTCTTCTTCATCATCCTCATCCTCTTCTTCTTCTTCTTCTTCTTCATCCTCATCCTTCTTCTTCTCTTCTTCTTCATCCTCATCCTCTTCTTCTTCTTCTTCCTCATCCTCTTCTTCTTCTTCTTCTTCTTCTTCTTCTTCTTCCTTCCCTCTTCTTCTTCTTCTTCTTCTTCTTCTTCTTCTTCTTCATCCTCTTCATCCTCATCCTCTTCTTCATCATCCTCATCCTCTTCTTCTTCCTCATCCTCTTCTTCTTCTTCTTCTTCATCCTCTCTTCTTCTTCATCATCCTCATCCTCTTCTTCTTCTTCATCATCCTCATCCTCTTCTTCATCCTCATCCCTCCTCTTCTTCTTCTTCTTCCTCATCCTCTTCTTCTTCTTCTTCTTCATCCTCATCCTCTTCTTCTTCTTCTTCTTCATCATCCTCATCCTCTTCTTCTTCTTCTTCATCCTCTTCTTCTTCTTCTTCATCCTCTTCTTCTTCTTCTTCTTCTCATCCTCATCCTCTTCTTCTTCTTCATCTTCTTCTTCATCCTCATCCTCTTCTTCTTCTTCTTCATCTTCTTCATCCTCATCCTCTTCTTCTTCTTCTTCTTCTTCTTCTTCTTCATCTTCTTCTTCATCCTCATCCTCTTCTTCTTCTTCCTCATCCTCTTCTTCTTTCCTCATCCTCTTTTTCATCCTCATCCTCATCTTCTTCTTCTTCCCTCATCCTCTTCTTCTTCTTCATCCTCATCCCTCTTCTTCTTCATCATCCCATCCTCTTCTTCTTCATCCTCATCCTCTTCTTCTTCTTCTTCTTCTTCATCTTCTTCTTCATCCTCATCCTCTTCTTCTTCTTCTTCATCTTCTTCTTCATCTTCTTCTTCTTCCTCATCCTCATCCTCGCTCTTCTTCTTCTTCTTCTTCCTCATCCTCTTCTTCTTCCTCATCCTCTCTCTTCATCCTCATCCTCATCTCTTCTTCTTCCTCATCCTCTTCTTCTTCTTCATCCTCATCCTCTTCTTCTTCATCGTCCTCATCCTCTTCTTTTTCTTCATCCTCATCCTCTTCTTCTTCATCATCCTCATCCTCTTCTTCTTCATCCTCATCCTCTTCTTCTTCTTCTTCTTCATCTTCTTCTTCTTCATCCTCATCCTCTTCTTCTTCTTCTTCATCTTCTTCTTCATCTTCTTCTTCTTCCTCATCCTCATCCTCTTCTTCTTCTTCTTCTTCCTCATCCTCTTCTTCTTCCTCATCCTCTTCTTCATCCTCATCCTCATCTTCTTCTTCTTCCTCATCCTCTTCTTCTTCTTCATCCTCATCCTCTTCTTCTTCATCGTCCTCATCCTCTTCTTCTTCTTCATCCTCATCCTCTTCTTCTTCTTCCTCCTCATCCTCTTCTTCATCCTCATCTTCTTCTTCCTCTTCTTCATCCTCTTTTTCATCCTCTTCTTCATCCTCTTCCTCTTCTTCTTTTTCTTCTTTTTGTCTTCCTCTTGCAGGTCACTGCTCATGCGCAGATTTTTTAGCGATTTTTTTTCCAACTTTACCAAAAAAAAAAAAAACGGCCAAAATCCCGAAAAACGGCCGACCAAATCGCCCACTAACGATCCGAAAATCGGCCGATTTTATTTTCGGCCGACAAATCGGCCGATTTTCGACCCATCTATGGCCTGCATAAGGCACAGAGTAGATAGGCTAACTCTGTGTTCCAGTACCACATCACAGTTGCTACCTCTGAGAAGCTGCGTTCCAGGCTGGTTGGACAATGGTTTGATTATCCCCCTCACCATTCATCTCGTCTTCAAGTTTCCAACACGGTCATCTTCAGGGACCCCCTGCAACTGAACTCTGCTGATCATTCATGTGGAGGCCAGCAGTAGGATTCATCCATCCATGCTATTGGATGAGGATGGAGGAATCTGTTAGATTTCCTTTGTTCAGCCTGCAGCCTGAAGGGACAAAATCTAACAGTGCGTGGGCAGCTTTAGTCACTTTGCCCATTCAGGTTCCCTTGTAAGTAGACTCTTTCTCCCACTGCTACTCACATTTTGTCAGGAACATCATGTGAAAAGTCATGCCAGTCATCAGATTCATGCGCATAAATGTGCACACGTTTTCAGGCATAGTGCAACAATGTGTGTGAGATCACACATAGGAAGGCATGCACAGCAGCATGCACATAGACGCACAGGCACATTCACTACAGATACTGCACCTAGTGGCCTATTAAAACCTGGGCCCTGTATGAGATCATTGCTGAATGGTCTCTCAGCTTGAGTTCCTGTTATCCCAGATCCTGAACCTGCTTGACGCTATTATTGACTTCCTGCTTCTGGATAATCCTTTCCTGTCTAAATTTGCTGTCTAACTTTCCTCTACCTGGTTCGATTGCGTAGACTGGCGCTTTCTCCGTCTTACCTTGGAACACATTGGTTTGGGCTCGCGGACCCTCACTTGGTTCATGTCCCTCTGCTCCCACCCCTCGGCATCTGTCCTGGTTAACAGTGCGATTTCCTCATCCTTTCCCACATTGAATGGGACCAGACAAGGATGTCTCTTCTCGCCTCTTCTCTTTGTTTTAGTAATGGAACATCTTGCACGAGCCATACGAGCTAACGACTCTATATTGGGCATACATACTCCCTAAGCGCACCACAAATTATCCTTATACGCCGACGACCTGCTAGTTTACATTCAACAACCACTTGTCTCCCTCCCCAGTCTTTTCAACGAATTCTGTAGATTTGGTTCCTTCAGTAACTTAATATCTCTAAAATGGAGGTCCTCAATATTTCTCTACCTGCTCATGTACTGGCAAACCTTCAGCCTAATTTTTCCTTTCAATGGCGACCTAAGGCCATCCCATATCTGGGGGTCCTGATTTCGGCTGATCTTACTGCTTTATATTCTCTCAATTATTTACCCTTATTTTCACGTATTCAAAAAGAATTGCTACAATGGGGGTACTCTCGGGGCTATCAGCATTTTTCAGCCTTGTCTCCCTTGACCTTAGCTGTGCTACGGCTGTGGTATAAATGAGGCATAATTGCTCTCTTATCTTCCAATATCTCTCCTTTGTCATCCCTATTTGATAACCCCACTCTTCCCCAAGGGTTGGGCTCCTCTATTATTGGACCCTTTACGCGTGTGTCCTGGCTTGTAGCTCGGGACTTTATTTGCCCCCAGTCGGGTCTTCCGCTCCTTCAAGGTGGGTCTAGGGACTGGCTGACCACTCTACACCTATCTTCATTTTGCAAGCACTTACACTCTTCCTCCAACATCCATCATCCACTTTCTACGATTGAACGGCTGTGCTCCCTCCCTGAACCGCCGACACATGTCCTTGCCTCTCTCTCGCTCCATAATGCTCTTTATTCTGAACTCCCTTCCTACACTACGGCTTGGGCTCGAGACCTAGGTAGGGAGGTGTTGGAGGAGGATTGGTCCACGTTGTTCCACTTTACTCATAGTCTATTTCTTGCTACCCACAAGAAAATAATTTAAGCTCCTTTTGGATTGTAATTGAATGCAACCCTTTTGGCGGCAGGTCTTTGCTGTATATAACGAGATCTATGGGGAGTCCTTGGCCCCTTCGCCGGAAATTGCTCTTCTTTCTATATTACCGGGCTCACAGGCTTCACAGAAGAAAAGTCTGCTGCATTTCTTACTGTCTGGAGCCCGCCAATTAATACCTCTCTTTTGGAAATCGGCTGCCCCCCCTCCCGATGTGAGTCTCTGTGCTTAATGATACCATGCATAAGGAGGAAATGCTGGCGTTTACTAATGATACCTATGATAAACATAAGCTGTTGTGGTCGGTCTGGCTTCATTTCTCCTTCTCTACGTCTCTCCGTGATATGTGCGCCCCTGCTGCGCTCTAGTGGAGTTATGCCTGGTCCCCCCGACTCAATCTCATTTTGGATTATCCGCTGGTTGGACCCCGTGGCGCACGCTGTGCTGTGTGCGGCAGGGTTGCTTTCATTTACCCACATAGATCGTAACCACCTCTCTGATGTTTTTCTTTTGTTTACCGTATATACTCGAGTATAAGCCGAGTTTTTCAGCACATTTTTTGTGCTGAAAAACGGCCCCCTCGGCTTATACTCGAGTCAACGTCTGCAGATGTCAGGGGGGGCGCGAGGCTCCGTCAAGGGGGGCGCGTACAGGGGTGGGCAGAGGGCTGCTGTCTCTTATATACTATAGGTAGTTATTAAGAGGTTGTTAATTAAGTTATCGTGTCACCCAATGTTTGGTTTCCATTCAGTAGCCAAAAAAGGCATTCAAAAAAGGGGGGTTTGTGAAAAGAGATTCACAGAAAAGCGGCTACATTATGAACAGACCGTGACACTCAGAAAATTTTCCAAAAATTATGCTTTATTACACAGATATAAATATAACATATGGGCATTCGCCCTGGTTTACCATCACCTCAGTATGAGACAATAACACACAGACCTAAAACCATATAAAATGACATCAAGACCGGTCTAAATGTATGTGCAACAGAAAAAGTGACTGCAAGAGTCTAATATCTCTGTAGTACAAACACATAGGTAAACACTTCCCTAAAGAGGTGTATCTAAAAATTATACCATAGGTATACCATAATATTGAATAATGAATTTACACCAATATCATAATGGTGAATCCCGAACAGGGAATCCAAAAATTATACTATGGATATACGTATATCACATGTATGAAATGCAGTAAGCACAATAAGCGTGAAGAGGGGAACAGTAAGCCTCAGGCCTGTTTGGAAAAAGACATAAATGTCAAATATATGATACAATACATTCCTGTGCCGGCACACGTGGTTGGGGCCCGTTCATCTGTAATGTGAACAGCTGTGTCATAAAGCTCTTGAATGGAAATAAGCCCCATTTATTCCCAGGATGGGAGAAAAGGTGCAGATTGCAGCACTCTGCTTGAAATGGTGTCTTCACCACTGTATGTGGACTACACACCAACCTTTGTAGGAAAAGCAAGACATATCCCAAGGAATCTTCTGCCTGTTGAACTATATGCGGTATGTCCTGTATCCTACACAAAGCACCATAATGTCCCCATCCTGTAGTGAAACAAATAATGTGGGAAGTCACTGACAGAGCTTGCACTCAATAAGATATGTAGGTCATATTGATCACAGAGGACCGTATATCTAATGTCCTGTAACAATCCACTCACCACCTGTGCCGTGGATAAAGGGAATGAAAGAGATGTCCTTCATGGATATTGCCAAACACGGCCACAGAGGCCCAGGAACCACCGCTGACATCCGCCGATATACCGCGGGTTCCAGCCCCCTCTCAGCGCCTGTGCTGCTCACGCTTGCCTCATGGCATGTGAAGATGGCTTCCTCCTTATGGGTCAGCGTGCGTTCCACCTAGTGCGCATGACCGGAAGTGACGTATCTGACGTATGACGTCAACGCGTTTCGCCGATGGGCGTATCTCACTCAGCTTCGTCACTTTGTCTCTTACCTGGCTCCCACGATGATCCATCCAGGAAGCGCTGCTCCTTCCGTCACTCCGGCCACTCCCTCACTCCTGCCGCTCGGCTCCGCCTCAGGAAAGGTACACAGACGGCCAATCACAAGCAAGGAGGCGGAGCCGAGCGGACCCCGCGAAAATCGAGTGAGGGAAAAGCCGGTAAGTGTGCAGTGCAGAGGTGCTGCTGCAACCACATATGCTGGCTGCAGCAGCACCATACTGCAACAGGGGTCAGCAAGTGTCATTGGTGTCAGTGGGAGGAATAGGGCCGCATCATTGGTGTCACTGATACTAATGATGAGGCATTATTCCTCCCACTGACACCAATGATGGGGCACTATTCCTCCCACTGACTCCAATGATGGGGCACTATTCCTCCCAGTGATACCAATGATGGGGCACTATTCCTCCCACTGATACCAATGATGGGGCACTATTCCTCCCACTGACACCAATGATGGGGCACTATTCCTCCCACTGATACTAATGATGGGGCACTATTCCTCCCACTGATACTAATGATGGGGCACTATTCCTCCCACTGATACCAATGATGGGACACTATTCCTCCCACTGATACCAATGATGGGGCACTATTCCTCCCACTAATACCAATGATGGGGCACCATTCCTCCCACTGATACCAATGATGGGGCACTATTCCTCCCACTGATACCAATGATGGGGCACTATTCCTCCCACTGATACCAATGATGGGGCACTATTCCTCCCACTGACACCAATGATGGGGCACTATTCCTCCCACTGACACCAATGATGGGACACTATTCCTCCCACTAATACCAATGATGGGGCACCATTCCTCCCACTGATACCAATGATGGGGCACTATTCCTCCCACTGATACCAATGATGGGGCACTATTCCTCCCACTGATACCAATGATGGGGCACTATTCCTCCCACTGACACCAATGATGGAGCACTATTCCTCCCACTGATACTAATGATGGGGCTTATACTCGAGTCAATAGTTTTTTTC